AGTAGGTCCGTTTGTCGGTAGTGAGCGTTGAGAGAGAGAGAGAGAGAGAGAGAGAGAGAGAGAGAGAGAGAGAGAGAGAGAGAGAGAGAGAGAGGGCGTCGTCGATAGCGAGGGCGTAGAGCGAGCGTGTAGCGTTAGGTCGTAGATCCGTTTGTCGGTAGCCTAGCGAGCGTTGTAGGTCCGTTTGTCGGTAGTGTAGCGAGCGTCGTAGGCCTGTTTGTCGGTTGCGTAGCGAGCCTCATAGGCCCATTTGTCGGTAGCGTAGGCCTTCGACGAACAGGGTAGGGTCGAAAGAACCATTGCCACGGTAGGGCTTTCCCGCCCTCCACTCGCCTGCAACGGGCTGCGACTTCTTGGGCCTACCGGCTGGTCCTACAGATCGCGCGCCGATCTGGGCCGTTCGGCAGGTCCAACGGTCCGGATGTTTGCGCGATCTTAAGATCGCGCATCGATCCAGGCCATTCGGCAGGCCCGACCGTCCGGATGTTAAGATCGCGCGAACATCCGGACCGTCGGCCCGAATGGCCCAGATGTCATATTTCTTCCTTTAGCGATTTTAATAGTGTAGAGATAGTGAATTAGTGCCCCATATGAGTCTATATTACTCCTCATAATATATTAAATAGTAAATATTATTAAGATGACAATAATATCTTTATATCCCATACTTTCTCTCTTCATGCGGAAATCAGTCTTGGTGGCAGCATGCGGAACTCACCTGTTAGTCCTGTTCTGCGTGCTATAGCAACAGCAACGTGTCCACACACAGCCATCACCAAAAGCAATAATAAGAGACACGACAATCAGACCATAGCAAACAGCAGCATGTCCTTTCAACACACATTTTGCAGCGTTCATTCGCTCTCATTGCTATTTGAATGAAAGTCAAACTTCAAACAATTGAACAACATGAAATGAAAGTTGCAAAACAAATTCTAACGAACACACGAATTAGAAACTTCAAAAAAAGAGTAAGAAAGACTCAAAATTTCAGAAATGTTTATCAGAATCAGAAATGGCCCCAGCAGAGTTGGAGGATGATGTGAGGACCATAAGGTTGGTCTTGCTAGGGGTAGTAGAGATGCAAGATCACTAGATGGCGATCTTACAGGACATCGAACAGAGTCTGGTTGTGTTAGTTGGATGAGTGCATCCTCCTCCTTTTGTCCCACCGGTGACTGTGGTATCCCCATATGTTTTCCCAACATCGGTCCAAGCCGTTTCCTTAGGAATGCCGTTAACAGGAGGGTTCTCAGCAGGTCCTAGTGTACAGGTTCCTGTACAGACAGTGTTCACCCAACCTCCGTCGCAGGTTGCCATAAGCGGGCAGCCTGCACAGCTGCAGGGTTCACAGCCCACCAGATACTGCAGCAGCCTGCACCGTGGGGTCCACAGCCCGGAGTGATGTCGGGACCGGGACAAAGGCAGTGGGTACCAAAGACGGTTATCGCAGCGCCTAAACCCTTCACAGGGGATAAGAGGGGCGAAGACCTCGACACTTGGTTGAGGGCAGTGCCGGTCTATGTCAAGTGCAAACTTACCTTGCCGCACGAGGAAGTGCTTGTGGCTGCCTCCTATCTAGAGGGAGCACGATGGTTGAGTGGTTTAGTTCAGCTACAGGGGTACGGTCATGACTTCCGCGCTTGGGCGGTCACCCAAAAATTGGACGACTTCCTCAAGTTGGTGGAAGACAGGTGGCATGATCCACATTAGGCCCAAAAGGCTACTGACGCGATCCTGACACTGCACACGAGCCAATTTAAGTCAGTGAGAGAGGCCACTGACGCTGTAGAGCGTCTGATCTGTGTCCCTGGGGTTTTACTCACCTCCTACCGGAGATGCTTTCCTATATGCCTCTCAGGAATCAGTTGGCAGGTGAGGCCAACATCAATATGCACAACTTTCCCTCGTTTAGCAAGAAGGCCCTAGACCTCGAGGCAAAGATAGGGCATGGGCAGACACCCACGACGGATGGCAGGAAAAAGACACTGCCTCCCAATTGGAAGGCAAAGGGACGCATCATGTTCGTCGACAACGATGGTTATACCATCGAACTGGACGACGACTTCCAATCGGGAGTGGGTTTAGAGGCCGGCAGCGTAGAAGCTTCAGGGGGTGGACTAGTCGCTGCCGTAGCACAAAAAGGTAAGGCGACCGGTAGACGTCATGGAGGTTCCCGGTCAAGGAGTCAAGTTGACCCCAATGCTCCTCCATGGGAGAAAGTGGGTCTCACAGAGGATGTGTGGAGAGACAGGTACACCAGGTAGGCCTGTATTCGTTGTGGCCAATATGGCCATAACCAATTCAAGTGCCACAACAAGAAGGTGACCGAGAAGATCCCGCCTACGATGGGGCAGGCGTTAGGATCCTCCACTCCCGTTGGTAGCAATGTGGCCAGCAATTCTGGCACCGCTGCGGGAAACACTTCGGGCATGTAGGAATAGTAGCTGTTCTTGCTAGGGTCGAGGTGGTGGACACACCCTCACCATCTCGAGAGATGGCCCAAGCTACTGACTCCATCGTCGTCCCGCAAGCACGTTCAGACCCATCGAGCCTGTGTTCGATGAATGTGTTTGAGTCCTTTAGAGGAGCTAGAGGAGGGGTGGTTTAGATCAAACCCGCTAGCTTCTTGGATGGCATTGGTCAAAGCCCCTAAGGGTGAGATGTTCATCAGCGAGGTGGTCATTGGCAGCCGCAAGGCTGGGGCCTATTATGACACTTGCTCGACAAAGAACTTCATCAGTCGCGCGTGCGTTGAGAGGTTGCGCTTACAGGGGCAAATGAAGTGCCTGAGTCGACCTGTGGAGTCGACCTGTGCCAACAAACAGCGCATGGTAGTTAATGACTACCTCCAGAACGTTGAGTGTTATTTCCCGTACGCGGGAGGGGAACTGAGACATCATGTTTTGTTCCTAGTGAGTGATGATCTCCCCATGGATATCTTGTTAGGTATGTACTTCTGTGGCGCAACTCCAATTTGATTGGGACCGAAAAGTGTTCAAACACACTTTGCCAGGTGGAGGGACCGCCAGATTACGTAAGTTCAAAACTAGTACTCTGCTCAAGTCCTATGGATGCATGTGTGCGGCCACGTTCTACAATTATTATAAGCAAAATCAGGAGGAGGGCATGTATCTAGTTTATGTCTTTGCTGCAGGCGAGCAGGCGAAAATGCCGCCGGAGATAGAGGGAGTAGTCGCTAAATACCCTGATCTATTTGAAGAGCCGACATGGGTTGTTGAGAGGGAGGTCGTCCACGCGATAGAGATTATCCAAGGGTCTAGCATCCCGAAGGGTAGGATCTATCGGATGTCTCCAGGTGAGCTTGACGAGCTTCGTCGGCAACTCAAGGAACTCATAGAGAAGGGGTGGATCCGGCCGAGTGTCTCTCCTTATGGTTCTCCAGTCTTATTCGTACCAAAGAAGGGGGGCACTTTGAGGATGTGCATTGACTATAGGGGCCTCGATGCCATCACTGTCAAGAACCGAGAGCCCCTACAGCGCATCGATGACTTGCTAGATCGAGTGCAAGGGTGCCGGTACTTCGGTAAGATAGATCTGAAATCCAGGTACCATCAGATTGCTATACGGCCCGAGGATCAGCACAAAACTGCATTTCAGACCAGGTACAGTCTGTACGAGTTTGTGGTGATGCCTTTCGGCCTTTGCAATGCTCCTAGCATTTCAGCACGCGATGAATCGTATTTTTCATGACTACTTGGACAAGTTTGTCATCGTGTACCTCGATGGCATACTTATCTTTAGTAGGACTGTCGAGGAGCACATGGCTCATTTGGACAAAGTCCTTAGTTTCCTTCGACAGCAGAAGTTCAAGATCAACAGTGAGAAGTACGAGTTTGGCCGCACCCGTATCTTGTACTTGGGTCATGAGATTTTCGCAGAGGGTCTGAAACCTGATGACGCGAAGGTGGCCAGCATTCGTGACTGGCCGCGTCTTCCGTCTGTGATTGAGATGAGGTCCTTCTTAGGGATGACCGGCTACTACCGCAATTTTGTGAAGAACTATAGCATAGTTGCCGCCCCTTTGACGGACTTGACCCGCCTTGACACCCCATGGGAGTGGACAGACAGGTGCGAGGCGGCTTTCAGCCATCTGAAGCATGTGTTGATGCATCATGAGGTCTTGAAACTTCGTGATCCTGACAAGCCGTTTATAGTTACCACGAACGCTAGCCAATATGGCATAGGCGTCGTGCTCGCGTAGCAGGAGGGTCCAAAGTTGAGGCCTGTCGAGTACATGTCCAAAAAGATGCCCTCTCAGAAGCTGGCTTAAGTCCACCTTCTAAGAAGGAGCCCTATGCGATCTATAAGGCGCTCACCCATTGGAGGCACTAGTGGACAGATAGGTGCGAGGATGCTTTCAGGCATCTGAAGCATGCGTTGATGCATCATGAGGTCTTGAAACTTCGCGATCCTGACAAGCCGTTTATAGTTACCACAGACGCTAGCCAATATGGCATAGGTGTCGTGCTTGCGCAGCAGGAGGGTCCAAAGTTGAGGCCTGTCGAGTACATGTCCAAAAAGATGCCCTCTCAGAAGTTGGCTTACGTCCACCTTCTGAGAAGGAGCCCTATGCGATCTATAAGGCGCTCACGCATTGGAGGCACTATCTCCTTGGGAGGTTCTTCTACGTCAGGACTGATCACCAGACCCTGAAGTGGATGAGAACCCAGCCTGTGCTCTCTGACGCTTTGAAGCGTTGGATTGAAGTCATAGAGCAGTATGACTTCGAGCCCCAGTATGTCAAGGGTGAGTACAACAAGGTTGCTGATGCGTTGTCACGTAGACCTGATTTCTCCGGTGCGCTGATTACTGAGTTTGGACTTGCGGACGATGTCACTCATTCTATGGTGGAAGCCTATCGCGAGGATCCGTTTATGTTTGAGATCATCCACAGACTCGAGGCGAAGGACAAAGTGACTTCTGCCGAGTTTGAGTTGGTCAGTGGCTTGTTGTTTCTTGAGAAGGCTGGGAATAAATGTTTGTGTGTGCCTAATAGAGAGTCTTTGCGCAGTTTATTTCTAGGAGAGTGTAATGACGCCACCGGCCATTTTGGCTACAAAAAGACAACAGCTAATCTGCTGCAACGGTTCTGGTGGCCCACGATGATGAGAGATGCCAAGCTGTACATAGAGACTTGTCAGGTTTGTCAGAGAGACAAGCCTCGTACACAGGCCCCTCTTGGGCTTTTCAAGCCCCTTTTGATTCCGGAAAGGCCTGGTGAGAGCTTGTCCATGGACTTCATGGACACACTAGTCACCAGCAAGAGTGGATTGCGGCACATCTTTGTCATTGTGGATAGGTTTAATATGTATGCGAGATTAGTTGCAATGCCGGAAACAGCAAAGACTGAGTACGCCATTAAGCTGTTCAAAGAGAACTGGGTCAGAGATTTCGGACTGCCCGAGTCTATCATCAGTGATCGGGATGTGCGATTCACTAGTGAATTGTGGAAAGCTGCAGCTGCAGAACAGGGCACGCAGTTGCAAATGACATCAGGCAATCACCTAGAAGCGAATGGGCAGGCAGAGCAGTTGAACCGCATTGTACAACACCTGCTCAGGCATTACATCAAGCCGAATCTGGTAGACTGGGATGAGAAACTTGCTCTCATCGCCAGTTTGTACTACAACGCCATGCACAACGCAACGGGAGTAAGCCCGAACAGCTTGCTACTGACTTTCAAGCCTAGACTGCCTTTGGACTTGCTATTACTTGAGAATCAGTCATCTGCTGCACCAGGGACCTTAGAGTTCGCTTATCGATATGAGCAACTGATGCAACAGGCTGTCGAAGAGATGCACAAGGCACAGGCGGCGATGATAGAGTCTGAGAACAAACACCGCCGCCCATCTACATTCCAGGTAGGAGAAAGAGTCTGGGTTAAGTCCTCAGAACTGGGACAGGAGTACAGGATCTCCCGTAAGCTCATGCCACAATACTTTGGACCATGGGAGATTCTAGATGTTGTGGGGCATGAACCAGATGGACCATCTTATGTTATTCGCATCCCTGGTCACTTACGCACTTACCATGTTTTCCACGCCTTAAAACTTGCACCTTTTGAAGAAACAGATCAGTTTCCCTCTCTTCGCTCAATGTTGCCCCCAACCATGGATGGAGAACGGGCAGAGGACGTCCCCCGAAACCGAAGCTACAGTATGAAGTTCGGTTCAGACATCACACTGATCCAAAGGAGGACAGATGGTTCACAAGGGAGGAATTGATGCAGACTGCTCCACATGTAGTCGCTCACTACGAGAAGTCTCTACAAAAGGGAAAACGCTAGATTATCGAAGACTGAACTTCTCAGAGGACTAGTGAACTATGGAGGAGGGAATGCGAGGCACAAGGCCTCGATAAGCCCTACTGGGCCCCTATTTGCAACAGCGTCGGCCGCCCTAAGTGAAGTCAGGCTCGACCTACCCCAAGAGGCCTATTTTGGACCGCTTCGCAATTGGGGAAAATTCAGGCAGTTGCGCAGCGCCAATTGGTTGGACGTGCCCAAGCCCTGGTCTTCTTTATCAAATGCATCTGGGTTAGGCCTTGGCCGAGATTCGTAGCATGGACCCAACTCTGGTTGCGGGCAGTTGGGCACTAGTAACCACCACAGGCCTTGGGCCTGTTTTCCTTGGATGGAGGCTCAGCCTCTTGGGGCCTACCGGAAGCTTCTGGGCCAGGGCCCGGTACCTCACGACTGCACGCAGCAGCAGGCCACTTCGATATACGGAAGGGCCTGCCTCCGCGTTGGACATTTGGGCACTGGCTGCTTTGTGCGCAAGTGCTGTTGCGCTATCGCCTGCCAGGCTCACGCGCTCACGGGCGAGCTGGAAGGAGCAGGCAGCCATAGCCGAGCTGCGCTGTTGTATGCTGGATGCGGCGCATGGTGGTCCTTGGGTGCATGTGGCATCTATGAGTTGGGGAACGAGGTTGTGAGTGATATGAGAGACATACCTGGTGCTTGAAGCGTGCGGCCTTGTACGAGATCTGCCCGTACTTCGGGGAGCTGTTGACGTTATCAACGACATTGTAGTCTAGGCTACATAGGATCTCCCATTCGTAGTCTGGGCGCCGAGCGCCAGATAGAATATCGACATTGGTTCTTCGTTGATGATGATGAGACTATTCCAGCATTGTCAATTATGAGTTTCTGCTGTGTTCTTATTTGGTCTAACTCGTGATGCAATTCTGCTTTTGGTTCGAGGTCACGAGTATCTGGTCTCATGTGTATGATGCTGTTTGATTTGTGAAGTTCGCTATCGCTAATCTTCCTTGCAATTGTTGTTTTTTTTATTTTTTGCTGTTACCTTCCCTGGTCCTTGCACGGGCTGGCCACCAGGGACCTGGCGGCCCGGCCAGTAGCTTGGGTAATAAGTTAATAACTGTATTCATAATTTAATAGTGAATTAGTGCTCCATATGAGTCCATATTACTCTCCATAATTTATCAAATAACAAATATTATTAATATGACAATAATATCTTTATATCCCATACCTTCTCTCTTCATGCGGAAATCAGACTTGGTGGCAGCATGCGGAACTCACTTGTTAGTCTTGTTGTGCGTGCTATAGCAACAGCAACATGTCCACACCTAACCATCACCAAAGGCAATAATAAGAGACACGACAATCAGATCACAGCAAACAGCAGCATGTTCTTTCAACACACACATTTTGCAGCGTTCATTCGCTCTCATTGCTATTTGAATGAAAGTCAAACTTCAAACAATTCAACAACCTGAAATGAAAGTTGCAAAACAAATTCTAAAGAACACATGAATTAGAAAACTTCAAAAAAAGAGTAAGAAAAACTTAAAATTTCAGAAATGTTCATCAGAATTTAGAAAATGTGCTGAGCACAGAGGACACTTCAGATTGTTAAAAGTTTGGCCTTTAGAAACATACGACAATGCGAACACTACCCTGACAGGCCTGGTCGATCGAATCTATGCAATGTGCGGGCTACTTTGCCTCCTCCCTTGACTCATGCTTCCTGCTAGAGTCCTCCTGCAACCTCTCCTCCTCGAGATCCTCCTTCAATGATGACGTGGATGATGACGATTGGGCGCTTCCTTCGGACGATGACGTTGATTTCGGAGACTGCATTGTGGCGTTGCTATATGGATTTTCGTCGTCATCCTCCATGACTCGAAGCACACGCCCCTCGTTGTCGCGGCTGTTGCATCTTGTCGCCTCTGCAGCATCGGCTGCTTTTGCTGCCTTGGCCGCAACCTCTTCCTCTTCTACAGACTTCTTTGCAGCTTTTCCAGCCTTCTTTGCAGGTGAAAGAGGAGGCTGCCCCCTCTTCCTCTTCGGCGGTGCTTCATTATCTCCTTCCTTATTTTTCCCCTTGCGCGTTGGCCCTGCTTCATGGGGCTCGGGTGCTGCTGCCTTTGGTTTTTCGTTGTTGACGGCCCGCCGCCTCCTCATTCCCCTGCACCCAATCGCCCACTTGTCGTGCCTTCATGGCACGGTCACAGCCCTCCAACGTGTAAAGGAATGCAGGTTTGGGCTCTCGAAGGCCCGACTTCTTGCGCAGCTCACACACTCTGCGCTTCCCTGGCTTCGTGTTGGCATGCCAAGTGCGCTCCAGGGAACTAAGTTGGGCGATGTCATCCTCTTCGTCCGCGAGTTCTTCCACCTCATCATTCTTTAGCCAAGTACGGACCAAGGGGCCATCTCCATCATCAGTATCTGCAACCGCCGTCGTGCATCAGAGGCTCAAGTATGGACCATGGGGCCATCTCCATTTTCATCATTTGCAACCTCAGTCACGACTGCATCAGCGGTTCTCCCCTAGATGACCTGCCTAGTCCAGTTCTTATACCACTCCTCCACCTTTGTCTTGGCAAGCTATTGTCCTTCCAAGGAATGTGGGTGTCCTCCGTCTCTCTGCGCTCCCTCTGTGTGGTCAATAGAATGTCCCAATTGTCGTAAACCAACTTCGCTCGTCTCTCGGGCAGGAGTTTGGTGCGCCACTGTTCGTTGTCGGGCGGCTCAAGCCTTACGCCGCCCTTTACTTCCTTGAGAAAACCCAACAACAAGAATAAGACTTGCTGCGACGGACGGATTCGGCTATAATATTCTCTTGTGAGCGAAGCCGATAGGGGCAATGTTGATAACTGCTAGATAAAGGAATGCGAGATGGCGGACTCACTTAGGCCTATGTCTAACATCATCGAAGGTCAACGAAATTCCTTGGTACTCCTGCGGGATTTAGGACAGCGGGGATCTTCGCGGAAAAAGAGACGATTGGGAATGGCGAACGAAAGATGAGATGAGAAAGAGAGAAACACACACTACCATTGGGTTAAGGCCTGAAGAATGGGGCTCTTTGTGCCTTGCCGCGTATTTGAAAGACAAAGGGAGCGATGGGGACCGAAACGGATCTGACAGTTGGAGCGTGAGGAAAATGCAAGGGCACTCGTGAAGGCGTCGTGAAGGTGAAAAACTTAGTCCGAGGCGGGAACAGCCGAATGGCATGGGCCTACTCGTCAAGAGTAAGTGCTGAGGGGAAAAACAAAAGTATCGAAAACGTGGAAAGCGGTTTGATCGAGGATTTGGAATTTTGAAGTGAGTGACTAAAAAGAAAACCAGGTGGGCGATCGTGCGGCCTAATTTTCACAACCATGTCAATGGGGTTCGGGCTTTTGAATTAGGCTCCGAACTTGGAATTAGGGTCGGAGCCTCGATTTAGGCTCGGGAAAAACAAGTGTGGGTAGTAGGCCGATGCATTTCCCGACAGGTTGGCCCGCTTGGTCCCTCTTGTGACCTTTCGGGACTGAAACAGGCTTGGGATTAGGCCGGACCGGTGCCTCGGTACCGGGGCGCTGCAAGTTTCTCGACGGCGCGCGTGACATTGTCAGCGATACCTGAGTGTTGGAGCTTGCTAAACAAACTTTAAAAGCCCAACTGGGGTTGTGTTGGGGATACTTGGGACTTGCGCATATGCTGGCACACAAGGTGTGCTAGTCTTCACACACTTGAGGATCGAGAGGAGAGGGGAAGCACGCACCGACGAACAGGTACTTTTGCGCGTGAAAGGACGTGACCAATCAAGGGAGGGCATCACGCACGCGCCGGCGAACGGATCACACGCACACTCGAGAGTAAGGGAGGTGAGTTGGTGAGTTGAGCACTTCATTGTGCAGGCGTGTAAGTGTACACGTGCACGGTTGAACGGACACGCACGCGCACAACACTTTGTCAAGCGCACGTGCGCCCACACGAGTGTACTCGCGCACACAAGTGCCATCTTGAGGGGGGGCCTCGCGCAGTGCACGTACTCGAGTGCCCACACTTGCGCTGAGCAGGTGCCCCACGCAGCACGCACAGCCTCACACTTCCTCGCGCAAGCGGGACAGAGCAGCAAGCAGCGCGCACAACCTCGTACCAATGGGGATCGGGCGAGGACTTTATTCTATTTGACAGGACCGGAACTGGGACATATTCGGCATGGGGGCTTTGTTTTATTCGACTGGTCCAACCGGGACTTATTCTGCACGAGGACTGGGTGAGAACTTCATTCTATTTGATTGGATTGTGACGGGGACGTATTCCGCACAAAGTCGAGACGAGGGCTTTATTCCATTTGATTGGCTCGGGACGGAGACTTATTCTACATGAGGGACCATACGAGGACCTTGTTAACCAGTGGAAAGGGATGGTAAAAGGGAAACTCGAGCTTTGGCCCCAATGGGCCCGCGATTCCACATCAGACTCAAAGAGGACCTATTCTAGAGGCTGGCTGCAGCGCAACTTCTATTATTTTGGACTAAATAAAATGCTTATTCTTTTTCTTCCTAGAATTTGAGTACATTTTGCATGCAACTGTTTTTGTGGGACTAACTTTGTTTGGCTTTCTACAGGTTGCAGGAGCCGGGAACTAAGGGCATACTAAAGTGTTGCTTCGACGTGATGGCATAACCCATCCGCCCGTCGACAATGGCATCGTTGTCTGGGAAGGATGCCTCTCACGACTTCGGTCCGCCTGTAACCGTAGGGACTTGATTTATTACTCCCGCGGATGATTTTTGTTCTCGATGTGTACATGTGCGGCATTCAGGACGAGCAAACGACGTGTGATGCTATCTTCCTCTCTCTCCTTAATTATGATCAAGAGCAGTATTTTTTGATCTTGTCGCCCTTTAGTCAGTCTACCCTGATCTGAAGGGAAAGAAGGGGAGGGGACAAACGTCCTGGATTGCAAGGAGCTTGGGAGGGAAATTAGATAGGTTAGTTGATGGAGATGGATAGCTGGGGGTTTTGATCCACAACACTTGTTGGGGTGAGACCATGCCTGAGGTGGGCCGAATAGAGGCATGGATAAGGTAAGGCACACGATTGAGACAGTTCCACTTTGTTTGCGTGATACTTCGGTCCAGCCTGAGACACATGAGTTGGCCAGCTCGTGTCCAGGTCGAGGCGAAGACGGCAGGCCAACAGTGATGGTACATTGAGCAATCCTCCTCGACATGAGGGTAGGGAGAGATCCAGAGGGCGGTTCTTTCCTAGGCCAATTGACGTCTTGAGGGGCTACTAAGCGTTCGACGATGGGGACCTATCGTGTGGGTCTGTGACGTCATCAGTCCAGAGCGGGCACTGGGTTGAGTCAGTCGAGAGAGATCGTACCTTTGTTTTTTGCTTAGGAATGGTGTTTATAGAATCACAGACAAAAGTCCATGCTAGCCGTGACACAAGTTCGCTTGAGCTAGTAAATCTGCCCCTAGAAGGTAGGAGTAAATACAAACAAACTAGAGAACAAGGGCTAATAGTGAGAGGAATTTTTGTATGGGTAAGGATCGTGTGTGAGCCTGGGAGATGAGTTAGGAGAGAGAGAGAATATGAGCCACTTGTCACGGAGGTGAAAGTCAAAATATACTTGTCACAGGACGGATGGAAGTAGTTGGCAATAGATTTGTTAGGCATTGTCGGGCACTGCCGAGTTTGACCACCCTTAGCTACAGGTACAACTCGCGGCTTTTTGGTGATTTTTAGCGAGTACTGACATTATCGCTCACTACAGAGTTAGATACAGTCTTGATTGGGAGTTGCCAAGGACTACGACAGTGAGGGCTACAATTGTGTCTAACTTCCTAATTAGATCAGTGTTTCGAGGTGCTAAATATTACCAACAATTGGTGGCTGCTCTTCCTAGAGCTTTCCAGTTTTGCCCTTCTGTTGAGGAATTTTCGTGGTTGCTTACCTATTGTCTGGACAGGGACATTCCTTCTCGCAAGGAGTTTAGGCGAGTCATTTTCAGGATCACAACGGAGACACGTTGGGTAGCAGTGACTAGAGAGATAGGTAGGGGGAGAAACCTGGCCGCCGATCTTGTGGAGGAGTAGATGATGCGATACGGTGAGGAGTATCCAGTTAGCCTCCACCAATTCTGTTACGAAGAGTCAGAGTTCATTGGTGAAGATTGGGTAGAATTTACGTTATCCGGAAAAGCGGTAGAAAGGTCGAAAAGGGGAAAGGTTGATAGATCCTGGAGATCCGTTTTACTAGTCGTAACTTTGGTAGGGTTTGAACGAGATAGCAGGGACGACTGTGTTAAGTGATGTTATCCTTAGGTCACTAGAACTATGTTCTAAGGACCCTGTGTTGGGTACTGTTCCGGGCTTGGATTCTTATACTTGGTTGGACGAAGCGGTTGCCAAAGGGTTCTTATAGGAAAACGAGGTTAGGGATGAAAATAGCTTCGAGTCGTTATCAACGTATCTCCAACTTGCTGAATGTGGGTTTCTACCATATTCAAAGCGAGGGGTACATCTGTCGGTCCCGATTTTTGTTTTGGAGGAATTTCTCGGAGGGTTAGGTAGTTTGATTTATGCCCATTGGTCCTTCCTGGAGATAGAGAGTCTCCTTTTGTGTAGCGATAAGGAGCACGAGTGCTACGGGTTATGTACGGTAGGACCTCGGTTCGGGGAATCAACAATTGAACTAGTTGAGCCGATTCGTGCCGGTTCACCCAGAGGTTTGAGGGAGTCTCCTAAAACTTAGCAGCCCGTTGAGTTTTGGATCGTTTTCGACAAGGAGCTTAGGAATCCTTTTGACTGCGTGACCAGCATACCTGAATTATTCCAAACCAGAGATAGTAGTCAACCGCTCTTGGGGCGATTCAAGCTTGAATGTTATTATAGGTCCTTGGACAACTCAAATGAACAAGAGGAGGAAGGCGAGCATGAGGATTGGGCCATGAGTGAGTGGGAGGATGATAGCAAGATTCCCGAGAATCGTGTAGGTTACTTTATAAATGTAGCGAATATAAAAGAGAGCACATGGGAACAATGATCGAGATTGGGGATTTCGATGGGGGAGAATGGCGAAAGTTAGGGGCACTTCTCAAAATCCGGGCCATGGCGAGGAAGGCGTAACTGAGCTCTTTGGGGTTCGACACCTTTGGAAGAGAGAAATAATTTGGGGTCTGCCCACATTTAGTTCGCCAGCTATAGAAACATTTATGAGAAACTAGGCTTCCCTAACGATAGGTGGTCTGTTTCCCTATGTGTTCGAATGGGTGAAAAAATATATGTTTTAGAGCTAAGTTTC